GCAGGGGCACCTGGGCGGCTCAGTCGGTTAAGCATCTGACTCTTGATCTCAGCTCAGGTCTGGATCTCAGGGTCATGAGTTCAAGCCCTGCACTGGGCTCCACGCCCACACTGGGTATGCAGCCTACATACATACATAAATATGTTCCTTTCGACAAAACAACCAAATGTCCACCAACAGCAGAATGGATAAGTTATGGTATATTCACATAACAGAATACAGCAATGAGAAGAAACAAACTACAACACAATAAGCGTTAATCTCATAATTGTAATGCTGTGCAGAAGCAGCTCAAATTCAGATATACTTTATGATTCTATTTCATGTAGAGTTCAAAAACAGACAAAACTTTTCAACTGTTAGAATACAAGGAACACAGTAAGGGTTGGGGATTCCAGTACTGGTACGTTTCTTGAGCTGTGTGCTGATTACATAAATGTGCTTATTTTGTGAAAATTCATCTAGTTGTACACTTTTCTATATGAATGTCACACTTCTTTAAAAATCTTAGATAAAATGGGGTCCCAACTGGTGATTCAGGATTTCTAATCCTTTCCCACCAGCAACATTCTTCACCCATACTATACTCAGAGATTTAACTAGCAATGGTCCTTTATCACTGCCACCGCTCTTAAGGATTGAAACAATCAATATCTTTGTTCCTATTTACTTTATGCCAAGCACTTTAACATTCATTCACTCAAATACTTATTGAATACCTACTATGTACAAAATCTGGGCTGAGTACTTAAGGTACACAAAATAAGCAAGACATTGTTCCTAGCCTCAAGGAGTTCTTAACCTTATAGAAGACCACACATACAGGGGGGTACCTGGATGGTTCAGTCAGTTAAGCATCTAACTCTTGGTTTCGGTTCAGGTCATGATCTCATGGGTCATGAGCAGGGAGTCTGCTTGAGATTCTCTCCCTCTGCCCCTCCCCTCATTCACATGCACACTGTCTCCCTCTTTCTCTCTCTAAAATAAATAAATCAATCTTAAAAAAAAAAAAAGAAGAAGACAACCACACATACAGATAACCAAATGAATGTACAGAGATACGCATAGAACATTATGGAAGTACAAAAGGAACAAGGAAAACAGCCTGGGAGAGGTCAGGCATCAGGACAGCCTTCATGGAGGTATGAACACCTGAGTCTTTAAAAGGGTAGGAATTATCCAGGCAAAGTGCATTCCAACAGAGCAAAGAGCTTGAGTAAAAAAAGCACAGGGTATTTAAAGAAACAATTGCAGTGGCTACATGGTAAAAACAAGGACTGGGATGGGGTTAAGAAGGAGTTGGCCAAAGAGATAGGAGGATGCCAAGTCATGAAGAAACTCAGACCTTTTCCAACAGGCAAGATGGGTCAGTGAGATTTATGCAAAGGAATGAGTGGTCAGACAGATTATTCAGGGAGCGATGTAGAGGATGAACTGAAGGAGGATAAGGCTGGCAGAAAGAAGGCAGTTAGGATGCAGTTATAACTGTCTTGACAGAAGATAATAAGAGCCTGAAATGAAATAAAAGCTATAATAAATATAGAGAAAATACAGAGTACAGATACATTATGCTGCTGGTCTAGAGATCACACTTTGAGAACCACTAACCTATGCTAGAGGTCAGCATATTTTTCTGTAAAGGGCCAAATAACAAATATTTTAGGCTTTATGGGCCACAGGCGATTTCTACTGCACTTCTTGGTTTATGCTTGTTTTTTAAACCCTTTGAAAATTAAAAACCGTTCTTAGCTAGTAGACTTGACCAAGATAAAGGCCGCAGGCTGGATCTGGGCTGTGGGCATAGTTCGCTGATCCCTGCTATACACAGGTAAAGAAGTGAGGATTAACCTTCCTAGGAGATTAAAATGCTACTCCCATATTAGTTCCCTACTCAGAAACTTCTCCCTTAGTCCTGACTGCCTACTGAATAAGTCAAATCACTATGATGCATAGCACTCACAGGCATCCGTACTCTCTAGCACCAACATACTACTCCAGTCTCAAGAACTATACCCCAGTCTGAACCTTCCATTCTTATTAAATTGACCTACTTACATTATTTGCCTCTGTATGTTGCGGTGTTCCCCAATGTTCTTTTCTAGTCTCTAACCTACCTGAATACCATTCCTTCAAAGCACAACTCAAATCCTACCCTGAAGTGATTCCATAATCCTCAGAACTCCTAAAAACACTATCTCAATTTATCCAAAATTTATTTGCTGTCTTATGACTTATTTCAAATAAACTGTAAATTCCTTGAGAACAGGGAATAATTTATACTTCTATCAAAAGATCTAGCATATAACAAGAGATAAATAAACGTGAAGACCTACATGTGTATACATACGTAACATATATACTTACACACACACACTTTTTTTTTTTCCTGAGCTAGCTATGTAACTGAAGCAAATGTGATTTCACCCTTACTTATAACAGTAACCGAATACTTTAATTCTATGGACATGATCTGAATGCTGTAGGAAGGATAGAATGACAATCCACAATCACATCTGTCTCTCCTATTACTCAAGTTTTTAGGGCTAGTTCACTAGGGGAAACAATAACACAAGTAAAATTTTTCCAATGGTCAGTGTTATCAACGTAGGTACACTGGGATAATGTTAAATAAGTTACTAGACCAAGTCAAAGTTTACTTATCTATTTTTACTTCACTTACTTTTAAAATACAAAATAACCTTTTACAACTACATTGCTTTAAATTCACCCTTTATTATTACTTAAGTTTAAAATCACACATATAGACACACACACACACGCCACACATGCTTTGAATTTTTTTAACAATAACATTCTCTATAACAATTCACATTATCAAAATGGCATTACTGATTTCATTGAGAATTTAGGGAAATAAGATTGCATTTCAAATTTTTAAGAAAATAGTCCATTTTAGGAATTGTTGAATCACTATACTGTACACCTGAAACTAATAAAACACTGTAAAAAAAATGTGCTTACACCAAAAAAAAGAAAAAGAAAATAGTTCATTTTCATTCACTACTAATAAATAGCTGTAATCAGAGAATGTTTTGAGCTGGATTAAAGGTTTCTTCTTATAATTGAGAACATTACTGAAGACGTCTTTTCAAGTCCAGTGTGAACCATGTCTTATTTTACCACCCTAAGAATATTCAAGAATCTATAAAAATTCCTCCAGAATCATTTGCCCAAATTTCAAGGCAAACTACATAAAAAAGTATAAAACACTTCTAGAAAGATACAGAAAACAAAACCAAAAGAAATAAATCAAAAGATGGCCATGAAAGTGAAAACTGAGACTTTCTAACCCTTCAGAACACATTGAAGGAAGCAGCTTAGTGACTTGTAACCCAGAAAAGACAATTATGCATTGATAAATTGAATATTAATAATGCACTTAATGGAGGACAAGCCCAGGAGCCAGGGACTCCCATTTCTCAATTCCTGTTCTGCCACTGGCTAGTACAGAGTCTTGGGCACATCCCCATATGTTAAACAAGAAAAGCTTAACTGACATTCTTAGGCTGTGGGAATTGATTAAATGTTTATGAAGTACTTTAGGACCATGACAGAAAGCCAAATATCATTTGCTTAGTACAAAACGACAGCTACCTGTTAGGCTTGCAAATCCAATCATTATGATTCTCTTGTGTCTTCTTAACAGCAAATCTTCAGTAAGTCAGTAAAGTGCATGTATTTATGAGCCCGTTTAGTAACTTCAGAGAAATGAATTTTCTTCCAAATTTTTGTTGTCTCACAAACCATGTCACTACCCAACCCAACTATTTGCAAAAGGAAACATGATGCGATCCACATTAAAGTTAGGTCCAGTTATTGATAAGCCAATACCAAATGACTGAAAACTATTAGGAATCACAGTGGAACTTTCTTTGTTAACTTACCAGAAATGTGACTCCTGAAAGTAATCCCAGAAAACAGTCGTCCTAACAAAACGTTTATTAAAGGGAAAGTCCCTAGGCTTTCTTACATAAAGAGCTCTAAAACGTTTGTAGACAGTGTCGACAGAAGACTAAATTCGCTCAGACCCTAATCTAATTCTTTAGGTAGTTCCAGCACCTGCTTGGTGTTGAGCGACTGGAAACTGGTGAGGCTGCCGAGCAAAAGTGCTGATGCCATCTCCAGCTGCCCCTTTCCGTGAATGACAGTAACAATGAAAACACTGACAAAAGAGCTGGGAGGCCACCCCAAGCCACTGCTTGGCAATACTTCTACCCTACCCCCAGCATACAGGAGCTGCAAATCCCAGAAAAGGCCCTCCTGCAACAGATCTCACAGGCGGAGACCTTGTCTCTAGTGTGGCAACGGGAAAAAGTACTACCCTGCACTCCTTCCCAGACAGCTGAGCACCTTAAAGGTGAGGGGAACGCTGCCTCTTTCTAAACTGCCAGCGGAAGAGGGAGAAGACTTCCTCGCAGGAGACGGGTGAGCAGAATCGGCCGTGCACACTGCCAGACCGAGAACTGCCCGGGTCGCGGGCGCCTCTCGGACAGCCGGCGGGGAGCAACCGCGAGCACTGGAACGCGCGTCCCTCCCTCGGCTCCGGGTGGGGGAAGCCGGGCTCGGGCGCCGGGCAAACCGTCCTCCCGGGGGTGGCAGCGCTCGGCCGCCCGCTTCCCGGGAGCTGGAGGAGGCGACAAGTAGGCTCGGGTCCGGGAGCACCGGGAGCACATTCTTGCCTCGAGCCTGGTCCCGAGGGAGGGCGCATGCTGCCAAGGCGGTGACTCTCCCTCTCGCCCAACTCCGGGGTGAGCGAGAGGGCGGCCGGCCCCGGGATGCCCGGCGGGATGCCACCCGGGTGGGGGAGGCGGCGAGGTCGGCCTCCGGGCCGCTCCCTCCCCACGCGGTCCGCGGCAGGCGGCCGTCCGCGCCCTCGTCCCTCCCGCCGCCGCGCGGGGCCGGGCCGCCGACCTCGGCCGGCCGGGCGCGGGGCCAGGCGGCGGCGGCGGGCTGACGGGCCGGCCGGCCTGGGGCCCTACCTGAGGCTGTGTACCAGCTCCCGGCGTGACTGGCTTCCCGGCAGACCACTCGGTTGGACATCTTGGTGCCTGTGCCGCCTATGGTGCACGAGGATGAATGAGGAGGCGGCGGCGGCGGCGGCAGGAGCGGCTCCGCGAGGGGACGAGACACCGCGGGCCCAGCCCAGGAGGAGGCGGCAGCGGGGAGGGGATCAGCCCGGCCCAGGAGGAGGAGGAAGAGGAGGAGGCGGCGGCCCAGGAGGAGGAGATGGCAGCCGGGGCGGTGGCGGCGGCAGCAACAATCACCACAAACTCCGGCCACCGCCGGAAGATGGGGCCCGCGGCGGCTTCACCGAAGCCCGGAAAGCCCTGGCCCCGGCCCCCGGACTCGCCGCTGCTCCCCAGCCGCGGCTGGTTCCGCCGAGCCGCCCCCACGGCCCCCTCCCCTCCCAGCTGGCCTCCCCGAGCCACCGCCGGTGACCCC